GCACATCTGAACAACCAGTTGGAACTCCAACCACAAGGAACTTTCTCTTAATTTTTAAGTGCTTGTCCCTTTGGATGTTGCTGTCTGGTAATTCCAGTAGTGACACTGTGTAACAGCTGGTATGGCCAGGGCTGGAGTGTCCCGGTGTAGAACCATTCTGCTGAACATGGGTTGGTTCCTCAATACCTTTGTGATGACTCGGGGCTCTCTCCTGATCACCAGACCACTGCTCTGCTGAAGGCAGGCTCAGGTTGTTAGGGCAAGCTGGTGGGATGTACCTTGGGGACAGTGACAGGGATCCGTTCTCACAAGTTCTTTCTCTTTTAGTTATTTATCTACCTAATCTCGATGAAAATAAGTTTGTCCTTGCTAAAATTTAGTTGAAGTATTTCCTCACTGGTGGTGTTACTTTTAAAAGTTGATATATTTTTTTCCTTCCCCCCCCCCAGCATACCAATTTTCTGCTGGGTGGTGTTGTATCATCTTGCATTACAGTTCTACTTCCTTGTTACTTGAAACTGGGCAAAATAGCATAGCACTTTTGGTCCAGATAAAAATCTAAGCAAATGAGAATAAGGTATGCTTGTGATACTTGTGTTGTCATTTACTCATAGTAAACTTAAAATGTGTTAAGTAAAATGTAAAATCTGAAAGATCATGTTGGTACAAGTATGTGCATGTAATTGATACGATTTCCTACTTTGGTTTTAGTATTATGCTATTTAATAATCCTATGTCAACAACTCCAGAAGAAATAGAAAAAGCTCTTCAAGTTTAAGCAGGGAAAAAGTCAAATGTTTTTGGTTGTAAAACATGTTGTAACACTCCCCACCTTGCCCTTTATATTAATTGGATCCCAGTAGACTACAGAAAATTTTATGAAACCTTTGTACTAATGACTATAAACAAAGTGTCACTGTTACTCAAAGCCCATTCTGTACACAGACTTTTTGTTAAATCAAAATTCCCGATCCAGGAGTTCCTGGCTGTGAGCCCAGACACCTCAGATGCAAGTCGTCTTAGGTTCGTAGGATTTTAGGTTCAGTGTGACAGTCATTGAGAAGACTGAGGAACTTATTTCAGGTACTGAAACTTCTAACTAGATTTGTGTTTATTTTAAGTTTTACTCCAGTCTGAGTATCAGTATCATCTGAAAGTCACTTCTGTGCTTTTTTGTAGCATTTGGGATGGTAATTTTGTCTTTTAAAACTTCCCGGTTTCATATAACACACTTCATACAATATTTCTGCAGTGCTGGCTTTTTTTAAACAGGTTTTGACATAGTTTAACTTCTTTTCTGTGTACGTGTATACATACATAACGCACATCTGTGTTTGTCCCTGATCTCAACAAGAGATCCTGTTTCAGTAGGTCAGCAGATTGTTGAATTTAGTTTCCTTTTGATAATGCTTGCATGGATGAATATAAACTCCTAACAGAAAGGCAAGAAAAAGTTCACCTGATGATAGTTCTTAAACCAAACAAAATTCCCTGACTATATTCTGAGGCTAAAATTAGATTAAAATTCTTCAGCTAAGCTGAAATAGGGAAGCTTTCAGTATGCAGGATAACTTCTGCAAGGAAAGACGAAATCTTCCTTTCCTTTTGCAGCTAAAGATCTCATTGTGGCTTGGAGTTGTTTCTTCATTTTCTGTTCATCTCCTACAGCCTCTTTCACCACAGGGAATGGCATTCTTGATTTGGCGTTTTATGTGGTAACTGAGGTGTATTTACATTTGTACTAGACTCGGCAGGTTACATGTAAGACTGACTTCCGTGCGGGTAGGCTAGGTTTAGTGTAGAGGCTGAAGTGGACACTAGCAAAAGAAAATAAAGCATCTAAATCCATGAGTGGTTCAAGTACACCTTGCTGTCAAAAGATGCAATCCTGGCTCTAGCAGCTTGTTTCTGTGTTCCTCTTTGTTTTCCACATGTGTTGGTGGGAGTATTCAAGTGACACTATAACAAACCAATTGGCTAGCTGATACTGTTCAACCTAGACAAAAAGTTTAGTTTTAACATGGGTCAGTTTATCTGGTTCATGGAATATCTGGGCCAGAACTAACAAGGTAGGAGAAAGTAGATATGAGAATGAAGAGAAGGCAGCAAGGCTTCCTCTAGGACAGAGTTCGCTACTGCCAGCTTAAATTGAAACCTGGCATGTTTGGGTTTACTTATATCAATATATACATTTATCTAATATATAATTTATGTGTACAGCTTTAATATGACACTGTTTTTACACTGTCCTGTATTACTTAAGTTGCATATTTTAAGTGTAGTGAGTGAGTTCATTCTGCTTGATACCCACTTGGGCTTAACGTGTAAGTAAGCCCAAGTTGTGGTAGGGCTCTCAATAAAATTATTCTATATATCAGATATTTTAGGAACTTTTAATTGTGTTTACATTTTTCAGTTAATTTAAATCCCATTTTGCACATTCAAGCATTGGATGCTAATGGTATTGAACAGTTGCATATATTCCTTGATCACATTCCTTCCATCTTCTACAGCATGCTTGTTGCCAAGTGAAAGGTATTAACTCCAAACTTGAGACTTGGTTATGTATATTCAGTGCTTGCTAGCAAAAAGAAACCAGACCCACCCACTATTTTTTTTTTTCCTCTTTTACTTAGCTCCTGGGATCTTTTTCTGCATGAGGAAGAACTGAAAAGTATTGGTAGACACCTAATAGACAAGTTACCACAGCACAGCTGAGTGCAGAAGAGGAAAGTGGAATAGCACTGGCATTATTCCAGGACTTGGTCCATGTGAATCAAATCCAATTTTAGCTGAGAAAAGGGAATTTGTTGGGATATCTACTCAGGATGCTGGCCTCTCTTTGTTGAGAGGGTTGGTATTTAAACTGAAAGGTGACTCTTACCTCCACAAAGCTTGTGTTAAATGTAACTACTTCCATCTGGAAATGGATGGCACATTTAAGCAACATGTTCTGTGTGGGTATACAAATCACTTGGAGTGTCGCTGTCCTAATGAAATTATTTTCTAAGTGTTTTCTCTTAAATCAGTGGAGGTTTTCATGTATGGAGAAGAGGTCTGCATCCTTATGGATTTGGTTATCTTAGAATAGCAAACATTTCTGCACCCGGAAGAAAACGAGTACATGCATTGGCTACATGAATTGATCCAACAGCTTGTGTTTGCTGAGGAGGTTTGCTAGTGTGATGTTGCCCATTTTGCATGTGCTCTGGTTCTAAGTTCATCCTGAGCAGGCTCACTATTCCTCTAGGAAGGTATTTGATTTTTCTGTTTCCTGATGTGTAGCAAGCTGAATCTTTGTAGAGACAAGTGCAAGAAAATCAGCAGGATATATGCATTTGAGGAGGCACTGCCACCTAGCTAGGGAGGGCAGGTGTGGGAGCTCCCCCTTTCTGCATTTGCAAGCCTATAGATTGGCTCAAGTTGGTTTATATAATTCCAGGAAAGCTGCAGTGTTGTTCTGGCTGGGTCTCCTGCCTTAGCAGAATTCAGCTGTGTGAGGCAGACCTGGGCCACGCGCTCTCTAGGGCAGTGATTCTCCCTGTACCTCATACCTAGGGTGAGTGTTGTGGTTCCTTTTTGAAAACATGTGATTGCATAGACCGCAAATGTCAAAAGGCCTGATTTTAGGAATCTTCTAAGGCATCAGATGGTTGGCATTCATGCACTCTGTCACACTTCCACAATGCTTCAGTCCCATGCCTGTGTCTCACCTTTTCTCATACCCGTATCTATAAGCCAGGTTTCCAAACCCTTCTCGAATCTTCCTTCTCATGTAGCCAGCCCCTGAATCCTGGGGCACTTGTTACCCCCACCCCCGTGCCTACAGCAATTTGCAGCCTTCTCCTTGCAGGCCTGTGTCTCACCTTCTGCTCCCCAGGATGTGCTTTACATACTGCGTTTGTGGCTAAGAGGCCAGGTGTCCCTCTCCACTTAGAATCGTATCTCACCTCCCCAGTGTCATAGGAACTCCCTCTTCTGAACTCCTCATGCCAGAAATAAACAGATTATCAAAGCAGGGAGAAGAGACTGGAGCAGTGATGCAGCTTCCTTGAAACACATGCACTTACTTGTCCAATTTAACACGGCAGAAGTGTACTGGCAAAGGAGATAAAGCTGGGAGCATATAGCAGATCTAGGTACACCTGTGACAACGCAGTAGACTTTAGCTACACTCACAATGTTGAATGGAGTCTAAAAAATTCTTAATATAGACTTTGTATATCTCTTTCATATCTGTGCATATGTTTTGGATGGGGGCACGTGTGTTCAGTTGACAGGCAGTTCTTCGTTGTGGTAACTTTAATTTTGTGGTATTAATATTTAACGCTGTTAATACAGGAATAAATTCTGTTAATATAGGAAAAAATGTTCTTGTTGTACACTTAGCAATGAATTCTTGTTCAAATTTCCTCAGAACCGTCCTTCTAAAACATTTTCAAATGCTTAATAAAATAGTAGATGAATGCTTAGACACCTTATTTTTACTATTATAAACCTACTTCTAGGTATTAGTCTAAACTTGCAAAGTAGTATTGAATGAGAAGGATGTAAATTATATGAAATCAAAACGCAGCTGAAAGCAGTGATGAGGCTTATGCTGCTTTCTCAGTCCATATAATTCAATTTAGGATTCTTATAACAATGTGTAAATATATCTGCTTGTATAAAAAGTCCTTGTTGGTGTAGTTTAAAGGAGCATACCTGGACTAGACTGATTCCTACTTGAAGTTTTCTTAGCTAAAAGTTCGAAAGCCATCCTGTTCCTTGTTGCAATTTATCATAGTAATTTGTGAATGGTTTGGAAAATTACAAATTATTTGGGGAAAAAAATATATATGTTTGATCTCTGTTTAATCCTTCAAATAAAAAGCTGTCTTGGAAATGTCTGAGGTTTTAATTTACGAAAATACTATGCGCTGGAGGCTGACTTTATTTTATCTAAATCCCATCATACCTACTGAAAAATCAGGTAATTTATTGGTGTTTTTGTTCTTCAGAAATGGAGGAACAGAATGCTGGACCTGGGATTGAAGATTTATAAAGGATTATGGGATTATGTATTGAAGAGCCAGCAAGCGGAATGCCTGAGTGACTGAAGAAAATGGGTGCTAATGCATCTAACTACCCTCACTCGTGTTCCCCAAGGGTAGGGGGAAGTTCACAGGCACAGCAGACGTTCATAGGTAACTTTTTTCAGTTATCTTGTCACTCACTTAAATGATTTACTGGATTGTGTATGCACTGGATTTGATTTGCTTGCAGCAACGTTATGCAGAGTTTTTATTTTCTAGGTCACCAGTTTGAATCCATTCAAGCTCAATCGTGCATGAAATTTGTTACTGCCCAGTATCTGTTTGGCCTGTGTATGCAATGTGTTGATCTGCCATTTGCTAGTAAAAGGATGCCAGGTTATTTAAAGAAAGTGGAGGGGTTTTTTATAATTAAAGCATTCATGCTGGTTTTCCCAGTTCAAAAGCAGTTGCTGTCTGTTAATACTGTCCACTGCTTTCTACTCTCCTTCCTCAGATTTTCTGTGAAACTTCATTAGAGCATATAAATTCTTGATCATCAGTATTCATTGTAGTATTGGTGTTGCATCTGAGTGAATGACTTCCTTATTGCTAGAAGGGATGTCTCTGATAATAAACTGGTTAAAGTAACATGCAGTCTTGAAGACAGCTTTTTCTCCTGTCCTGTTCCTGTAAATGGGGAACGGGGGTATTTTTGTCTGAGCAGTATTATTTGCATGCAAGGACCTTGCTTAACAGGAAATGTGAGTGTTGAAGTGCCCTTAAGAAATTATTTTTTTTATCCCAGTCGTAACTGGGGCAGGTATTACCTTTATGTGCTTTTCAGTGTAGTGCAAAAAGACCTCACTGTAGATCTAAGTACTGTCACACTATGAATAATAAATAGTTATGTGATGAATCTGAAAGAATGCAGTTTTTGAGAAGCTAAATCTTGCTTAAAAAACCCCCAACCCTGACAGTCTGAAAAACAATCTTAGCGGTAAATAATATAAATACTTTATAAACACTTTCCTCCTTTATGCCTTGGCTTGCAACACTGGGTAAGTAGTTACTGATATTCAGTGTTACTTCTTTTCTTAACCACCACTGAGAAGCACAGTGCTATCCTTAGCAGAGAAAAAATTTACTTCCTTTGTAATTTTTCTCTTTCGTCTTAGTTTTTGTGATACTCCTAACTTTTGGAGATCTGAGTAGAGGATGGCCCACAAGCTGTTACATATGAAGACCTGTGCTCTGGGCTAAAAATTCTGCACGTGCTGTCATACCATGTCATGGAAAAACTTTTAGTACTAACATATTGGATATCCTTGCTGTAAAGTCCCTCTTAAGGCTTTATGTATTTTCAGTACATTATAAGTAACAGCAGTAAAAGGTTTGTCCCAGTTTTATACGTGTATATATATATACACATGCATACACTTTCTAAAAATCACCGCCAAAAAGTTGTTATATATCTTGGTGGTTTTTTTATCTGCCACTATATTAAATGAAGAGAAGCCCTTATAGACTTGAAAGCAGGCAGATCTGCCTGCTGAAACACCTTTTGAGCAGGTTTGAGGGGGGAGTTCCAAAGGCTTCCTTAAATTCCCCAGGAACTTTCTACTTGGTATGTGGAAGGTGTTGTTGATGCTCTTCCTTATTAAATTCAAAATAGAAACCCGCTATATAGTATGTCACCATAAATCTACTGATCCCCCTTACCTATTGAAAATTGTGGTTGAGACTTATTTGAGGAAGGTCTAAAAGTCTGTGGCTGTCTCATCTTAGGCAAATGAGTGTTCTGGTTAAAATTCTTCCTGAAATCTGATATTATAGTGGCATTTACTCGAGTGTGCTAATAGAGTAAGTGTGCAATCTATGTCAGGTGTACATCTCTTCTTCCGCTTTGTGGAGTTTGGCTCTTTCTCATCTTGATTCTTGTTTGGATGATTGGTTTGTGTAGCTGTCTCAGTAGAAGAGAGATGTATCCTAAAATTGATAGATGATGTTTTCATCACTTGTCAGAATAATGATGCTTTAATGTTAAATCAACTGTTACTTTTTGGTTGTGTATGTGTGGGTTTTTTTGTTTTGTTTTGTGGGTTTGTTTTTTTTTTTTTTTTTTAAATGTAGAAGGCATTAGATCTATTTACTGCCCCAAAGTAGAACTGGAAATACGGGGACTAGAGTTATAATAGCTGCGTAATATATATATTAGTTGCTTTAGGCCTGAATCCGGTTCCTGGGAATACGGGTTTGTTTCAGATATGCTGCTTTACTATTAAAGCGGTTCACCATGTTATATTGTAAATGTCGGATGAACATTAGAAGCTCAGAACTGATCTGGCAAAGGACAGTAGTTTCATAGGATAAGCTCCTGTTGTTAGTTGAATTACTGCTGAATTTGCTTACAGTTTATGACAAGGAGATAGATCAGTAAAAATAATACAGTGCTCTTACAGTAGAAAATACTTTTGTTTTAGCAAAGGCTGAACTAGTCATCTCCTTGCTGCTTTTGTCTACAGTATTCAGGAGGAGGATTTCGCACCATTTTCTAGGGTGGTACATCTGTTCAAGATGTTTATTTTTAAGTAGAGCTCTATAATTAGATTTTAAAATGTGTAGGCATGCAGAGGACTAGACAGATCCCATCATTGTCAAGTGCCCGAGTAGTTTCTCTTGGCAGTCATCTGTTCCTTGTAAATATTTATCTGTTCAAAGCTAGATGTGGTCTAGGGGCATGAAGTAGCTATTGCTTTTTAACAGCATTTAATAGATTGGTGCCTTTTAGTGTAGAAGTGGGGAATAAATTTGTTTCCTGCTTCCAATGCTGCTGCCTTAAGAAGGCATACAGGCAGGTCAAAAGGGTCTCTTCAAAATTCTTTCTTTGAGGGACACAGAGCCACCAGCTGTTACGAACCCAGCAGGGCTATGCTGGTGCATCTCTACTTCTGCCTCTGGCAAAAAGCAGTTCTGTGGTGGCACTTCTATAGCAATGTCTTATCTATTTGTTAGGGTTAATACCACTGTTTGCAGTACTTCTGAAGGTAAATCTTGTCAATAGCTCTGGGAACGCAAAGATTTGAAAGGTGTTTTAGCATCTTATGGTGATTCAGTGCAAGTAATACCTCATGGCAGCCTTCAGGGAAGAAAAAAACCTGACACTTGTGGTGTCCTAGTTTTTCTTTAGCGGAATGTAAGAGAATATTCTGCATACTCAAATTTGCCATTAGAATCCAAAATACTTCAAATAGAAATGAGCTGGCATGTTCTCTTGGAACACGCTGTCATTATAGAGTGACCAAAGTGTAGTTATACTTTTATTGTGAAATGTAACTGATACTCTTTAAACAGAGCAGAAATTTTAGGCTTGACTCTTATCAGCAGGAGGCTGAATCTGCTTTTCTTTTGTAATACCTAGAATAGCATGTGGAAGCAATTTTTATGGTGGATTTTGCAGCATCGCCTCTTTGTTGAAGTTGTCTTGAGTTGCTGCTGTTCTCTTCATTTAAATTGATATATTTTTTTAATGTCTTGAAATTTCAATATCATTAATAGCATGTTGCCTGATTAATGTAGCATGGATGAAATGGTGTTGGAGGTCTTTCCTCAAAGAAAGCAAAGTTCCTTCCCAAAGCTTTCACTAGTAAGTGAATTGTAAAACCATTGTATTGCATGATTTGGGGGAGTTTTAATTAGCTTGGTATAAAAGCCAGTGTATAAGGTTACTTAGAATTATTGAGGCAATCTTAGATTGCTGCAGTTGCTGTGCTCTCAATACAACTTTGAGTTGCTCCTGTCTTTCAAAGGTCAAGAAATACTTACCTGAAATAAAATGGTAACTAAAAGCACTGTGTTTTGACAGACTGGCCCCTAACATCGCTGTCAGAGTAACATCACATCAAATCTACCTGAAACAAATAGAACTGAAAGAGAGCAATGTTAGAACAAGTGATAAAAGGCCCCACAAACTCTAGTGATTGGATATACTTTGAACTTAAAGATCCAAAAAAGGCAACAAGTAGTGAAGCTACAGAAGTATACAAATGGAAACGTTAGCTATTTATAACAGAAACTGGAGAAATACTATTTCCCATGAACCTGTGATTGTTATTAATCAGTATCCCATTTAGAAATGTTTTGTTCTGGTTTCTTCTTTTGTCTGGAAGTACTAGTTGGGTTTGTGTACATTATTTTTTTTTTCTCCTTTTCCTGTCATGTCAGAGGTTTTTCACCACCTGGCTTAGAGTGAAAATTATGTAAAGTTAAATTAGAAAATAACCCTTTAATGTGAGAGTCGTGCTTCTGTTTAAACTTTAGGTTTTAGCTACTTTTTTACTAAAACATTACTTTGGTTTTCCATTGCTTCTAGAAACGAAGACTAAATCTTCTTTTTCTTACTAAATTGCTATCGGTGTTAGCGTATGTGCAGCTAGGCTCAAAGTGTCAATCAGCAGAAGTTCATTTAACAGAACAAGTCAGGTATGTAACAGATAGTGTTGAGGGGAAGCCATTTTTCATTTCATGACAGGTTTGGTTCATAACTTCCCTATAAATGAATTTTGAGGGGAAAAAATAATTATATATGTGTACTTTAATTGTATAATGCTCTGTCCAAAGGACATTTTTAATAACACAGTAAAACTTATATTTCCCATATTCTTTTAAGTAGGGTGTATGCACAAATTAGCATCTATAGTTCTGTGGAAAGGAGCCCATTTTATGTGTTCTGCTGCTGGCATTACTTGGTTATCATATGACAGGATTTCTACTTTTTTGTTAAATTTGCATTGAAAATGAATTCATTGTCCTCAATTTCCCCAAATGTTTTGGTACTGTGTTCTTTTTTTTCCTTTTTTCTTGTGACTGTGATAACTATCTGATGCCAGGTGTGCTTTTCTTGTTGAAATGACATTTAATGCCAGAAGAATAGAATTTGAAAAATGCTTTGAAAGTGGGAGGTGCTACCATTTCACTGAGGTCATAGAAATTTTTTAAAAGCCTGTATTTTTCACTTCCTATAATGAATATAATGACACTTGTAACATGACCACAGTGTTCTCCTCCTGCTATGGGAAGTGTGCCATGTGCTACAGAGCTACATCAGAGGGCACTGCTTGGATCTTAAAATTGAGTATATTTTGGGGGGGGATGGAGGGGGAAGAATAAACCTTGTAGATGCAAAAAAAAAAAAAAAAAATTTTTTTCTTGTTGTTAATGGCTAGAGAAGACTTCAGTCATGTTTCCAACTTGCTGAACTATCCAGTCTGAGGAGAAGGGAAAACTGTAACTTGCAGAGGCACTGATGGAATGTTTAGGACCTTCCTTTAAAAATTAAAGAATAAACGTGTTCAATTTTCCTTTTTGCCCTCAGGGACATCATCCTACTCTCATCAAGGTTATGGCTGTGAGTCAAAGCTGTATAGCCTTGACCATGGCCATGAGAAACCTCAAGACAAGAAAAAGAAAACCTCTGGCCTTGCTACCCTCAAAAAGAAATTCATTAAGCGTCGGAAATCCAGCCGATCTGCTGATCATGCCAAGCAGATGCGTGAACTCCTCTCAGGCTGGGATGTCAGAGATGTTAACGCATTAGTGGAAGAATATGAAGGGACGTCAGCCTTAAAGGAACTTTATCTACAAGCTAATTTGGCAAGACCAGAAGCCAGGACGCTACAAAAAGACATGGCTGAACTTTATCAGTACAAATATTGTACTGATGTAGACTTAATATTTCAAGAAACTTGTTTTCCTGTGCATCGTGCGATATTGGCGGCAAGATGTCCGTTTTTTAAGACGCTGCTTTCTTCCTCACCAGAGTATGGGGCAGAAATAATAATGGACATCAACACAGCCGGCATAGATATGCCTATGTTCTCTGCTTTGTTACACTACCTTTATACGGGCGAGTTTGGAATGGAGGATTCGAGATTCCAAAATGTTGATATCCTTGTGCAGCTTAGTGAAGAATTTGGAACGCCAAATTCTTTAGATGTGGACATGCGCGCACTGTTTGATTACATGTGCTACTACGATGTGGTTCTTAGCTTTTCATCCAACTCTGACTTAGTTGAAACTTTTGGCGGAAGTCAGAACTGTCTAGATGAAGAGCTCAGAGCTCACAAAGCAATTATTTCATCACGGTCTCCATTTTTTCGTCACTTGCTGCAGAGGAGGATACGAACTGGTGAAGAAATCACAGACCGAACTCTACGAACTCCAACTAGAATTATATTGGATGAATCTATCATACCAAAAAAATATGCTAAGGTCATTTTGAACTGTATGTATACAGATGTGGTGGACCTCTCAGTTTTGCACTCTAGCCCTTCAGTGGGCAGTTTAAGTGAAGTTCAGGCTCTTGTAGCAGGAAAACTAAGCATGACTAGGGCTGAAGAAGCTATGGAGCTTTATCACATAGCACTGTTCTTGGAGTTTAACATGCTTGCACAAGGTATGTAATACTGTCCTTGCTGTAGAATATATAACCTTATTAGAATGGGTTTTTAGCTATTTTGCAGTGTCAGTATGCCTATTGAGTCTTGCTATCAGTGGCTGACAATTCCTTTAAGAAAAGGAATTTATTTTCCATTTGTGAGTTGTAGAGAATGCATCTGTGTTTTCTAGGGACAGAAGAAATGCCATGTGAGAGCTTTTAACTGTATTGAATGTCATTCTTGAAGCGTGCTGTTTGTCAAATATGTATAACTGGTCTTGATATTTATAATCTTTATCTAATTTCATCTGTAATACATCTTCTTGGGTGTAAGCAGGGGGAGGAGCCTTGTTGAGAGGAGGAAATATTTAGACTTGTTATGAAGTGACTCTATATGTTAAAAAAACTGTAAACTTGAACGATTATTTCTTAAATCAAAGTGGGTATGCCAAGCCTGCAATCTTGCTGTTGGAAGGTAAATTTAAATGGCTTAACTGCACCAGTCCTAGGTCTTTAGTATCCACCTCTTGATGTACAGAACTGAAGGCAGGGGCGGTCAGTATTTTCAGACTTAAAGTTTAGAAAGTTTGAGGTCTGTCCGTTATTCCTGAAGATCACTCAAATCTCGATAACATACTTCCTGCACATGGAGGCTGGCCAGGGTTATTGCAGTCTGAGGTGTCAGAGCACTGACCAGTGAACTAATAATACCTCTTGTGGTGGCAGGAGCTTTGCTTGCTCTTTCATCTGTTGGTGTTTGAGCTATTTAGTGGTCATATTATACTGGGATATAATACTGGCCATATAATGGGATGCAGCAATTGCCTCAGGCCTTGCTGGTGGGGGATGAAAATTTTACTTTTGAGCTGAGGAATTGAGAATGGAATTTGCTGAGATCACCAACATGATTTATGCTAGTTTATTTTGTTAAGAAAATAACTTTTTACAGTAGATCTGTATATCTGTAACTTCTAGCTATCCAGTGAAATTTGACAAGATTGAAATCTTTATAGTATAAACTATCAAGTAGACTTCAGTAAAATAGGAAACTTCTTAAAGAGTGGGCAGGAAAATGCAGATTCAAGCACTGCAGGAAGAGATCATACTTATAACGGGTTCTCCTAATAGTTATATCAAACTGTGAGCGATGAAGATATGGGAAACTAATCAGAACTGTTTTATCTTCCATAGAGGTTGTTGTTAGGAAACTAATTTTCAGATGATGCTGAAAATTGAAATGATCCTACCGCAATAAAACTGGTAGAAAACAGAGGAGATGAGTTTTCTGAGACTTGCATTCCTGTAGCAGCATATGAGGTGTGCTTAGCCTCAGAATTATTGGATCGTAGAGGATCCCAGGTTGGAAGGGGCCTTGAAAGATCATCTGGCCCAACCTCTGGTGGGAAAGGGAGCCAAGATGAGATTATCTAGTACCTTCTCCAATCGCATCTTGAAACCCCCCAGTGATGGGGACTTTACTGTGTCCTTGGGGAGGTTGTTCCAGTGAATGATTGTTCTCACTGTAAAAGATGTCTTACATTGAGATGTCTCCTGGTGCAACATGTACCTTCTGCCTCTTGTTCTCTCCATGTGGCTCCTTGTGAAGAGAAATCCTCCGTCCTGTTTGTAGCTGCCCTTTAAGTACTGGAATACTGTGGTGAGGTCCCCCAAGCCTTCTCTCTTCTGGGGAGAAAAGACCTAACTCCTTCAGTCTTTCCTCACAGGCTAGCTTCTCCAGCCCTTTGATCATCTTTGTGGCACTCCTTTGGACCCTCTCCAGTATTTCTGCATCTTTTGTATTTTTGTTGTTCCACTCTAAGTACACCTAGAAGCTTAATGTTGAATGGAATGCAGAAGTGGCAAGAAGTTTCACTGCAGTTAACTACAGTGTTACATTAATTCCTATACAATATTTGCAAGTACTTGAGACAACTCCCTAGGTCAGCTGAAAGCAAGAAAGGAAAATGAGTTGAAATTAAAAAGGTGATCTAAGTATACAGTTTCTCAGTTTTGGTGCATGTACATATACAAGTGCTAAAAGGATTTAGTGTGCCCAGGGAATACTAATGAGGGAATTAAACTGTGAATGAAGCCCTCAGTAAGACACTGGATAATTATGCCCTGTTTCATAAGTGAGCAGGGTATAATTCTTTCCCTCAGATTGGAAACCTGAACTGGAACAACTGTGACTGGAGGTGCTCTGATGAAGCAGTGTGAGTTGTATCAAAGCGGATAAGCAATGATAGAGGACTTCACAGGGAAACACAGGCAGACCTATAGATAGGAAAATGGATTTTATTTTTTAAGTGTTAGTAAATGCTGAAAACCAGAACTGATGTTTTATTTGATGCTGAGTTTCATTATTTCTGCTTGCTTTAAGTTGAGCATGCTTGTATCAGTGTGTCCTAAACCAGCACTCTTTTTCAGTAATGCACTACAGACTCTGGACTATATATTTTTTGAGTCAGCGGTGACAAGATCTTAACTTTTCCCTGGAGGTTTTCCCCCAACACTATCTCTAGGGGAAGAAGAAGAAAGGCCGAAACAGGAGCTGCACTGGGCTTGCAGCACCTTGGCAGCACGCTCGGGTGGCTGGAACCAGTGAGTGCAGCAGCGCACGCTCGGTCTTGGTGCCCCTCTGGATGAACCAGAGCTGTAGTGGTTTTGGGGTGATCTTTGGGAGGAGGTAGAGGGATGCAGTGGCCTTCAGAGGTCTTTGCTTCTTTTCCTGGTAAATCTGTGGCTGACCACAAAAGTGGGGAGTGGGGAAGTTGTTATACACATGGGAGAAATGCAGTAAAATCAGGCAAGGGTTGAAATTTGTTATATTATCCAATACTACCAAATGTGAGTTTGGCACCCCTTCAGCTACTGAAATTCTAGATGTTAACTTGAACTAATTAGGATTTTATAAATTGGTGCTGTGTTCCCTAGCTACAGGAGACAGCAGTAAGCATTCTCTAGAAAATCCATATATGCTGGTGCTGTCAGTATCTAATAGTTTCATACTTACTTTGCTGATTTCATGTTTAGGTCATTGGTACCGTGCTGCCACTGAAGAATTGTTCTGGTATAATCTTATAATCAAAATTAAAAGGAAGATTATTTGATCAGGGAAAACTATATGTCTGCACTTGACTAACAAATCACTTAACAACATGTTTTAGTCGTGACGACCATTCTTGTTTTGACACTTAACAGTAACACCTTGTCCTCCCTTACTGTAGTACCTAGCAAGAGGTAGATGAGAGATCTTAGTTTCAGTAGTGTCCTTCCCATTCCCCGATTTCATAACTAGCATACTTCTGTGCTGGACACTGTTACAACTTCTAGATGTTATGCAGAGTGGTGCAGGAAATCACAGCATTGTGTAGGTTGGAGACCACTGAGCAGGTAGTTCTCTTGAAATCTCTTAGCTCGGTCCTCTGATAGGACTTTTTAGCTCTGTTATGCTGCAGGTGTCGAGTTTTGCCCAAGTTCTGACCGATCCCATCAGTTAGCTTTTGCAGCAGCTAACGTCTTAAGTTTCCTCTCTAGATTTCCACACCCCCTGGCTCAAGTTTTTTGATTCAGTTCACTCATGCTAGCCAATTGCAAACTTACTAAAGCTTATCTCCTTGGTTTCCTGGAAAATATTTTGGGCTCACTTTATGTAAGCCTGGATATTCTTTCCAACTCATTTTGCTTGCTTTTACTCAGTTTTGGCTGGGTGTTTGTAACTGAGTGTCAAATGAAGTTGATGTATTTTTAAAACTTCTGATCAACTTTTTATTTTCAACAGATTTTAGTTTGATTTGTCTTCAGGGACCTTTCTAAGTATCCAGATGTTGTAATTTTTCTTCAATTTCAGCAGATGATTTAGCTTTGACTCTTTCCTTGGAAATCTTCCCATTCCTAACACAGTGATACTCCTTTTTCTGACTGTTGTATTTTAATAGATGGTTTCCCTGTAATGAAGTCAGCGATAGTATGGATACATGCTATGAGTTTTTACTGTCCAAGTAAAGTAAGATTACTTTATTTAGAATTTATTCTGCCTTCAGCTTGATTTGTTTCAACTAATGAATGTCACATCTTCTAAGAGAAACTGAAGTGGATCTTTTAATTAACTAATTTGAATAAATGAACTAATCGGCAAGCATATCTCATCCATAGAGCTGATCATACTGAAACCCATTTGTACCTAATAGGACTGAGGCTGCTATGAGGGGTGCTGCAGTATTTGCTAACTATCAGAAAGCGAAGCTCTTCCCTGCTTTCACAGAGGCCGTGAGGATTATTAGAGCCCTCTCCAGGATGTTCAAGCACATCCCTTAGTGGAATGTTTCTGTGCTCTGCCTGCATATTTCTGCACTCTGCTCCTGCTTTTGTGTCTTCATGCTACCTTGCTGCTCTCTGTCAACAGTACTGGTGCAATCGTTTTAACACATTGACTCACAAAGATATGGTTTAAAAATCACTTGTCCCTTTCTCTTTTGTAGCACAGTTATTAAAACCAGATCAGTTCCCTAGTCCTGCTCATCACACGTTGTTAAAATAATCCCCCTTCCAGTCCTACTGTGCTGTCACATCCACTGCTGTTTCAGAGTCTGACTGCAGGTATCTTAATTTTATTAGATGGCTATATTAAATATATTAATCCTCTTCTGCCCCTTGGCCCTGTTGTTTACTGTTATTAATAGTTTCACTGAGGTGGTGGTACGGGGTTTTTTTCTGTTATAGGTTTTTAGATACTGGGAACCTATTAGATAGTTTTGCCTGGGAATCTTTTCTGCCTGCTGATTTCAAAAAGTTTTCTGAAGTAAAATTGACAAAAAACCCCTTAATTTCAGACCTTTTGCTTTCCTTTTATTTTTAAGTGTTGATTTTACCTTTGACAAGAATAAGAACTGAGAAACTTTATTTTAAAGCCATATTCAGTACTGCACCCTTTGATCTAAAGGCAGATATGGCCTGACATCAAAAGTACCCTTGATCTCAGCAGGACTGAAATACTGAAATGCCAGGAAGCCCACAGT